GGCAGGGGTTCATTAAGAAAAGTGTACAGAGATGTGATGCTGACATATGGGATGCAGATGTATATTATACCTTAGCTTATTTTATGCACTTATAAACTTTTTTATTTGAGTCCCACTGTTTCAGAAATATGAAGTGCTGCATTCCATGTTTATATATGGTGGTGCTTGATCTGTAATTGTTGTATTTCTTTATGGAATTGGATCAGGCACCAGTAGTGAAACCTCCTCCTGAAAAGGCTCCTAAGAAATCCGCAGCAAAGTCTACGGAAAAGAAGGGAAAAACTGTTCAGGTGCTAAAGGAAGAGAAACTAGATCCACTAGCTGAGAAACTTCACTGGCAAAGGTACTCGATATGCAGCTTTTTTTTCTGCTAATAATTGGAAGTGCAAACAATTCATAAGAATTCTATACATCACATCTAGCCTATGTGTCCTTGATTTGCTGTTTCATAATTGCTACAAATGGCATGGCTCCTGAAAAGTAATCCAAGTACAATTTGATAATTGTTTTCCACCCGTACCAAATTGGATGCAACTGAAGGGAAAAAAGAAGTTGCTAAACTGGAATAGATGGAAGACGAATAAATGAATTCTAATCTAATCATAGCTTTACTTATAAATGCTAATCTAAACATAAACAAAGCATCTGGATGTGGGAATAAAAGTTAAAAACTCCAGTGTCATGCTACTCCATGAATGATCTACCTAGCTCCTAAGGGAAACCGTGTTAGATCTTCTGCTGCAATTTATAGACTTCAAATTGTAGATGTTTATGATTTTGCAATGGGGAAACAATATAGTAGGCTTTTATGATGATAGAGTATATTTAATTATTCATGTTTCTCTGAGCATTTTTACAACTTTAATGTGAGGAATGTCAGGACTAAGCTATTGCTGCTGTTTCTTTTGTATAAGATTTTCACCTTCCTTGAGTTGCCTCTTTTAATTGTTCTATACTGAAGATTGGCTGCCTATGTCTTTTTGCTGCTTTACAAATATATGAAAAAAAGAAAATTTTATCAGTGCTTAACCATTTAGATGATGATTTTTTTTTGTTATTATTTTAGTATGATTTCTTAACAAAACCTGTTTCAACTAATAGTGTCCTTGAGGTTTTGTTCTGATCATGTTGGGTTTGGTTAAATGTTGTTTGGCAGCATGATTTTAATTATGTTGATTTGTAGTTCTACGTGCTGAAAATTTTCAGGCAATTTTGCAGGAGGCATGTTTTGTTTTGACTTGTTTCAGTTTATAAGTTTTTTGTTTGCCTTTTCCTTTAAGCAATGGTTTCTTAAAGATTTACTCAATTATAGGCTGGTGGAAGAAGCTGATTTCAGATCCACTACAGAACTGTTTGCTAAGAAAGGTGATGAGAAATCGGTTGATAGTTTCATACCAAAATCTGAAAGTGACTTCTTGGAATATGCAGAGCTTATTTCACATAAGCTTCGCTCATTTGAGGTGTGTTGAGTTAGCTTTAGTATGTTGATAATAAAAGGCTGGTGTAGTTTTTGACCTGGCCGAAAAAAAAAACATTCTCTAATGCAGAAAAGTTACCATTATATCGGTTTACTTAAGGCAATAATGAGACTGTCCATGACTGCCTTGAAAGCTGCAGATGCCAAAGAAGTTTCGGCTTCTGTGAGTGCAATTGCAAATGAAAAGATAAAAGCTGAGAAAGAAGCCAACGCTAGCAAAAAGAAGCAAGGTATATTCCACTTATTTTTCATACTAAGCATCTTTAAGATTCTTAGACATTTTGAAACTCATGTTTCTTTTGAGTCGTGGATTTTGAAAAGCTAGTTAAATGGAATCATTGGTTCAGAAAAGGTGAAATTTTCAGTACTCCTGTTGTACATGCACCTTCTGCTACGATTTCATTACTCTTTTTGAGGAAACCCATATGCAACCACCAGATACTGAATTCTCACCAGTTGTACTGAAGATTTTACCATTTAGAATGTTGATGAATATAACACCTTGCTTTTTATTCATTCCTTGCAGCTGGGAAGAAAAAACAGCTTCATGTTGATAAGCCTGATGATGACTTGGTGGTTAATCCCTATGATGCTCTTGATGACTTCGATTTTATGTAATCTGTTTTGGTAATAGGCATTACATTTTTGCACTCATTGTGTTTCATCAGAATCACATTTACACCATGATTGATGATTCAGTGTATGTTGTAAACAATGTTTTTAGAAGAAAACTTCGCGTTTTTGCCTTTGTTTTCAGCTGTCTGGTTAAAACCCTTGAAAGACGTCGTGTCTTTATATTCATTTGTATGGAGGTAAAAGTTGAAATAAATAAAGACACTGCATGGTTCTCACATTCATAATGGAATCCTTCTTGCCATCTTTCCTTAACTCTAGGGATATCCTCACATTCATAATGGTCAACATCTGATTGATTCATCGGCATTTGGCATGTCTTGTGCCATTCTTTCTATAACCATGGGTTCAAGGGACAAATAGCTACGAGATTTCAAGTTAGATAAATCATATTATGCCCTAGTGTATTTTATAGGTCCTTGGGGGCTATAAAATTAAGAAAAGAGAAGGAAAACCTAACCATCTACGTTTCATGCTCTTATCAAAGTGCATTGATCTCGAAGAAATTTAAACCTTTACAAACCAACATGTAGTTTACTTTAGACGAAGATAAAGCCCTGTCACAACTTTAGATGTGATCTGCATTTCATCAAAGTAAAATCTTCTAAACCCATAGCCGGGAAGTAAGCCTTACATTATTCGACACAAAATGCAGAATCAGAAGGCAAGCAAACAAAGCAATAACATCGGTTGCTGCTTCAAACACAAAGGGAAACAAACTGAAGGATATCCATCCTGATGACAGAGATCTTTCTACGGTTCCTTGGACAGACTACTAAAAACAATATTTCATGAGGGGCTGGTTGATGGTCTCTTGGCTTCCGAAGGATGGTGGTTTTGTGCAATCATGGAAGTCACAACATATGGATCCATGTTCGAAGCATGCCTTCTGTCCTCAAAGCACCCCTTTCCTTCTTTCTTTGTGTTGCGGCAAACATGAAAGGCAGCCTGCGATTAGAAACACCCTGTCAATCGCACAACATGTAACGAAATTAATGCAAGACATCTTTCTGTGTGTCGCAGCAAGGAAATTGTTTCACTTTCCTCTTACCCGTTTGAAAGTACTAATATCAGCTGTTTCGTGTCATCCGGTGAGTCTCTGCTCTTTCCCTTCTCCATAAGCTGAAATGTGTTCTTTATGCCACAGACCAAGCTTTTCAATTGCTTTCTTGATGACTTCATAGCCTATTTCATTTCTCATTGACTTAGTATTGAAAATGTGAAGAATTTTCAAGTACAGGACAAAAATAATAATCAAGAGGGTGGAATAAAGTAGTGTTGCTTCCCATCGACAATTTCTAATTCCATGCCTGATAATAGATATAAAGACTCGATATAGCAGTATAAATTAATCACAATGTTGGAAATATATTTCCCCTTTAATAAAGAGCTAAAAGGGCACGGTAGAAATTGCCTCCATATATTGCTCAGGATAACTGTGGTCAAGATTATTGCAGGTTCAGAATCTAATGAACACTATTATCTTGAGATTGGGATAAAAGAAATTATATTTTATTTGAAAACTATTTTTTGATAAAAAAATAAAATGTTGAGGGTTCAAAATAATAATAAAAATAAATAAATCAAAATGATAAGAAAACAAAAATTAAAAGAATGAGGATCCAACTTGAATAAAAAAAATTAAAGGAAAAAATAATGAGGGAAAAAAAAGGTAAAACACACACAAAAAAAAAACAATCAAAAGAATTAGAATTAAATTGGATACAAAAACTTAATGAAACAAAATATCTAGGTATGAATTTAAAAAAAAAACTTTAAAAAATATTGAAAGCAAAACAATTAATAAAAAAAATAAGAATTAAAATGGATAGAATAGAAACTAGAGGACACAATTAATATTTGAAAGGACTGACTTGAATTTCTAAGTTAAGAGGAAAAAAGATAAAGAAAAAAAAAAGATCATCAGAGGTCAATCGCATCTTTATCATTAACAAACATCTCGTCAATACAAAGAGGATAATGCGCCACTCTAAACATCATCGTAAATGATTAATTTTGGTCATTGGACAATCTTGTATATGCTAACACGTGAGTTGCATACATCAACAGTTTTTTTTTATAGTATTTATTTTTTAAAATTACCAAATAGCCCCTATGCCAACCTAAAAATAACAAAACCCCCTTTGGAACCATATTTATATTTTTTTTTTATTTTAAAGACAATTTTGTCACTTCACTATTCTTAAAATTAAAATGAAAAAAATACTTGAGTGGTAAAGAGCGGATTCATCACCCTAGATGAATTAAAAAATATATTTTATTTGTTCTCAAATAGTATTGACTGAGAAATTCTTAATTAAAATGGAATGAGATTTGAGAAGAATTCTAAATCTTATTTAAACGATCAATGAGTATTATGTAAAGAATAAACATAATTTAACATGACAAACATACTCCATGTTTTAATGTTGAATCAAAACATTATTGATGAAATGATATTAATTACACTGAGAAACTAATTACTATAAGATTAAATCAAATTATTAATAATTTTTTTAATATTTAGAAAATGAAGACATGTTAATAGATGATACACCTTGTTTTCAAATATAAATTAATCAATTGTTGAATTGATAATAAATTAATTTATTTTTATTCAATTATAAATTATATTTGGACCAACATATTAGAAACTTAATAGTATCACACATGTTAAAAATCTTTAAATAGAAATTAAACTAGGATGATTTAATTAAATATGATTTGATTAAAATATATTTTAAAAATTAAAAATTAGAGTATAATTAATATAAGAATTATATTTTTAGACCTCAAAAAATCAAATAAATACTTGATTAAGTTAATATTATTTTTAAAATTTTCTTGAATTGAATTGATATATAAATATTATTAAAGGGACAAACATGATTTTGAATTATTTTTAAAAGAAGATCGTTTTTATCGAAATAAAATAAAATGGATAAAAGGCAATCAAGCGAATATTTTTCCACGGCGATCTTGAATGCCAAAATATTATTAGTTTCAATTAATTACGTCTTCATAAAGGCTAAAAGACTGTTTATGAGATTGATATTTTTTTATACAAGTTTTTGTTTTGAAGTAACCAAAAGATACTTAATTGGTTGTTTTATGAGAAGTTTTGAAAATTACGTCTGTCTAATTTCCTTAATTTTATGCTCTTTTTTTATATATATGACAAGTATTACAGTAGTGTTAAGGAAAAAAACTTATTACAGTACTAGTAAAACAAGTCTCAATTAAAACAAATAATGAACCAATCATTTTTACACATTTATATGAAGCATAAAACAACAATCAATTTGAGAAAATTATTTAAACAATTACAACAAATTAAAACTACAAAAATATATATTTTATTCTCATTACAAATTTAATTTGATTACCAATCTTTAATGATTCTAATGTTAGGGATGTGAGCTATCTTAGGCCAGTCCTCTCCTAAATCTTTCTCACACCTTTTCT